AAAATGCCCGAAACTGAATAAACCTGCTAGGAGTGGGTAAACAACATTTTGTGTAACCCACTGGTGGATAACATCCTGAACGTGATTTCATTTGTCGATCTTCTTAGTGTAACATCAATGAACAAAACTTCCATTGTAACGTCTTAGTTAATGAAAATTGCTTCCCCGATCGGGAAAAAGAATAATATATTCCCTAGAGAATCGTATGGTTTTTCTTAATAAATTATTCAAATGTTGTGGGAGAAAAGGTCCTCAAACTCGTGATGGTTGATTATCATGTTCTTTATACAGTTTGAACATTAACTAACACTGGTTAGATAAACATGATTATCAGTTACTTTTACAGTTTGAAATTTAACTTACCCGAGGTAGATAAACACTACTACCAACCTTCACTCGTTAGAGAACTTCTATATATTGGGAGAGGGGTATAGTTAGCATTTTTATCAACAATATATTGTTAATGGTACGCAAACCATCACAACATATCACAAATACAGCAAAAATGTCCGAAACTTGCAAAACGGAAAATATTGTAACTATTTTGATAGACTGAATATGAATAACTATAGACACATAAATTTCACTCCAGAGATTAAGATTTTTTTAGTGGTTGATCTTAAAACGCATTATAGTTATAAGGTCCCCACATCCGTCACAATAACGATTTTTGATGATCTAGAAAGATTTTGGCGGGAACTTAATAAAGGCGATGTGTTGAAAAGGGGAAATTATAATAAATCTCTTTCTTTTCGTTACAATATATAACTCATTGCACAAATTAATTGACAAGCAAGCAATTCTTAATCAGTTTAGAAGAATACAAAATACAATTGGTCCTCGTAGAAAATTAAGTCAAAATTTGGCGACTAAAATATAATTGTAAACGGTTGTCGTTGTTTTAATTATAAAAAAGATGTGAGCTCCTGATCACTTTGAGAGAACCCAGCAGTGTGAAGCTAGACGATGCCAGGAGTGTGGAAACTACGCACTTATTACTAACAGGATTGTAGAAATGGGCGATATCTAGGACAATGTTGAGATACGGACAATGTAATCATTATCATTTTCTTTTACTTTGTATTTAATGGTAATACTCTGAAGTGAAAAGCCCTATTAAAGACACAAAAACAGAAACTTGAAATATATGGCCCTGGAAATCTTTCTTCAAAAACTGCGACAACAATTATTGTTACAGGTTATTTGAAACAGAAAGATACCTTAGGTGAGTTTGTGGTTTAACAGCTGCTTTGCAGATGATGTATTTACCCTCTGTTGGAACTTAATTGATTTGTTCTGGAGATTCCTCGACAAGCGTTCTTCCGTTTGTATGTTATAAAGTAATGATTTACATATTGTCATATCAAAGTGGTAATATGAGTAATAGAAAAGTCATTTAAGGTTTTGAGCTGTTAATATGAGGTAAAACAGAAACAAACAAACAAACAAAATAGAAAAGTTTCGAAAGTAATGAACAGTGTAGGTTTGTTCGTATTTCCTACAGATTTTGTTTTGTTATGGATATATATGCATAACTATGTTGAATGTGTTTAACATCAGGAATATTAGAGGCAATACGTTTATATAAACATGACTTGAATGTATAAGTTGGTATTATGCTGTACACTTTTTATACCTAATATCATGCTAATTTTACAAGTTATGCCATGTTTATAACAGTAAATTAATAGTTTTATTTTTGGAGACTAAAACTATACAAAGGGGGGAATTAATAATTATGTTCTCTGTCTACGTGGTATTTTTTTTTATAAAAAATGATAATTTTTTGCTCTCAAATCATTGTCGAAGGGAAGTCGTTTCATTCATTTTTTTCAGAAATCTTATTTAACGTAATGCAAGACAAGAAGGCTTACCTTGAACATCTGATATCAGTATGATATGAAAAACAACCCTTTTCTTTCATAACATGGTCGAAGCATTTTGGTGCAGCGATAGGAAGCAATAACAACGTGCGTTGTTGTAAAAGAGCTCTATTATCAGTCTACTGGTGTCATAGGATTGTTCTGTTAACGTTATTCTGGCTTTGTTACATGTATATCGCATGATATGCAAATTTTATCCAACATCACCGGATGTTCAACTCTATCAACAAGTTTCATAATCATTGAACTATTCCTTATGTATTGATACTGTGCCGTACAACTTTTGACACGGCCCATACTTGCGTAAGCACACCCATATACACACATGTATCAACAAGCATACAAAAATAAAACAAAAACATGATAATGATGGCTAAATGTGATGACTGCAGGACATTTAGTGCTTTGTAATACTTGTACATGTTATACATGTATTTTGAAAATTATCTACATTGTGCAAACAAAAACCACCGCAACCGCTTTTGTTACGTTCCGCTATTGTTAGTTACGTTCCGCTATTGTTACGTTCCGCTATTGTTTTCGTTTCCAATTTACTTATTTAATGTAATTCTGGACGTTAATTTGTGTTTGACTTGACAAAATATTTTATTAGCTATTGTTGGTTCCTTTTTCTGGTTGTTAGAGAAACATTAAAGAGATATTGTCTGCAAAGTTGATTAGATGCACCGACGCAACTTAATCTCAGCATTCAGTTTTAACAGACTCCGTTTTGTGTACGATAAATAAAATGCATGTTCTGCTAAATATTTTCTATTAAATCTATTAGTGAAAATAGTATTTTCACAATATCTGTTGTTGTCTGTAAAACATATATATAATACGTTTGTACTACTTTTGTATGTCAAACACGTTCAAGGTACAATTTTTTTGTCTTCTTGTTTCAGATTAACATTTCAAATAACGGTGAAGTGTCTACCACACTATTATGGTCCCAATTGTATCACGTTTTGTGTGGGGAACACACACTCCCATTGCAATGATGATGGAACCAAAGTGTGTCAACAGGGTAGGTGTACATCGATATCACAATTCTGACTGCTATTGACTCAATCTTATTAAAATTAGAATTGTAATTCCGCTACAAGTATTGGAGTGTATCGTAAAGGATCGTAGAGTAGCGGAATTACAAGTCTTATTATAATTGGAATATATTGACTGTGTGACGCCCGCAGTCTGTTTACATTGTGGTTAGGGAACATAAAGTCTTTTTCTATTAAGAATGTTCATTTGAGTTTCCCAAATACTTAATTGCCGAAATTCATTGTCTATACTTATTTAAGAAGGCATTCATATTTCTTTCTGGTCTTATTTGAAATAAAATTAAATGTCTTTTCTGATCTTATTTGAGATGACAATGAAGGTCTTTTCTGATCTTATTTGAGAAGGTATTAATTGCCTGATCTTATTTGACAAGGCATTAATTGCCTTTTCTGATCTTATTTGACAAGGCGTTAATTGCCTTTTCTGATCTTATTTGACAAGGCATTAGTTGTCTTTTCTGATCTTATTTGACAAGGAATTAAGTGCCTTTTCTGATCTTATTTGACAAGGCATTAATTGCCTTTTCTGATCTTATTTGACAAGGCATTAATTGCCTTTTCTGATCTTATTTGAGAGGATATTAATTGTCTCTCTATTATGCATTCTCAAAAACAATTACTGTAATTGTCTTACATTTTTAGAAATTTTGTACTAATTTGAGACGACTTTTATTGTCTTTTTGCACTTATTTGAGAGGACATTAATTAACTTTTCTGCAATTTTTAGAGAGGATTTTAATTAACTTTTTATCAAACGTATAAATACAAAGATAACTTGATATCACAGTAATAAACAAAATTTGTTTTGCCATCCATTCATGGAACAGGTTTCGTTTTCTCTTTCTATTAAAATGTCCAGCTGCGTTTGTTAATCAATCGTCTTTTATCCAGTGTCACTATTTAGAGTATGTTTTTTCACCTTTCTTTAATTGTCTCAGTAATCCGGCGGTGTGGTTGTATATCAGACGTTATAACACATTGTATCAAGTGTTTCGTACTATTCTGTTATGATTGATATGCCACGTTATAGCCGTGTATTTGAACTGTCTCCTGTTATTGTTCCTGTGTCAATGTGTATCATGATGATCCGTTTATCACTACCTAACTCCAAATAGTGGTATTCGCATGTTCTCCTTTTGTCTGTGTTGTTGTCATTGTTGTTATTATTGTTGTTGATGTCTTGAGTATCTTGTTTTTAAATATTACTTTATTTTGAGTTATGAATCGACGGCTTTCCAATTAAATCCCAAGAAACTTTCATTGAAATATGGACAATCTTATTGTTGGATAATTCATGGCAAGATTAATATTAATACGAAAGAAAATTAAAATGATTGTTCTTATGTAAATACGAATAATAGAACAAAAGTACAGAAAAATTAAAGTCACACTTACATGACTGTTCACAGATACATTAGAAATTTTCAGGGGTATATTCTCTTACTATATTTATTTTATTGTAAGTTCTTCCACGTTTGCAATGTAAAGACACTCTTCATTTTTTCAACTCGTGTATCCAAAATGTTTGGGAAATATCAACTCAGGCCTTAAGTGGCATTTACAAATAATTTCTTTCCAACATTTTCTCACCCAAGTTATATATTCCACCATTAAACCCGCAAATACGTTTATTATTTCTTACATAATAATTTTGAACACATCGGGGGTGATAAATACATTAGTTTCTATATCACTTTATTTTTTAAATCCTTCGTCATGTTTTATTAAATTGATTCCTGTAGAGTATTGCCTTACAGATCTGATATATTTGAATAATAACATATTAACGTTGATATTTTCTTTTTAGGTTTCACAGGTACCGACTGTAATATTAAAATAGACTACTGTAAACCTGGTATTTGTAACCATGGCAACTGTGCGACCCTCGCAAATGGCTACCAATGTACCTGTTCAGCAGGCTACACAGGACGAAACTGTACATCAAATATCGATGAATGTAGCCCAAGTCCCTGTCTCCATGGCAACTGTACTGACGGAATAAATAAATTTAGTTGTTATTGTGAAGCAGGATTCACAGGTCAACGGTGTGAGACCAACATCAACGACTGTAGTCCAAATCCCTGTCTCCATGGCAACTGTACTGACGGAATGAATAAATTTAGTTGTAATTGTGAAGCAGGATTCACAGGACAACGGTGTGAGACCAGCATCAACGACTGTAGTCCAAACCCCTGTCATCATGGAAGTTGTACTGACGGAATAAATAAATTCAGTTGTAATTGTGAAGCAGGATTCACAGGACAACGGTGTGAGACTAATATCAACGACTGTAGTCCAAACCCTTGTCACGATGGAAACTGCACTGATGGAGTAAATGAATTTACTTGCGAATGCCAGGCTGGTTATACTGGAAACTGTGAGCAGTACATTGACGCGTGCATCCCGAATCCTTGCAAAACACATGGAGTATGTCATAAACATGGAAACACATATTTGTGTCAGTGTAATCAAGGATACACTGGACAGAGATGCCAGACGGAACTTCTTTCGTCATCTAAGACTTCTTCCCAAACAATACATATATCATCTGCAACAATGCCATCGTCACTCGAATCATCACATGAGTTAATGTTCATGTCAACTGTAGCCGTGTCTACGCCATCCGAAGAAATGCATACATCATACAAAACAATGCCTTCATTACCAACTGTTATATCTACGTCATCAAAAGCAATGCTTACGACATCTAACGAATTCGCTACGCAATCCGAATCAATATCCACTTCAACAGAAACACTGTCCATGTCATCTCAACCGATACGTACGACATCCGAACAAATAGCTTCGTCAATATCTACGTCATCAAAAGCAACACTTACGTCATCTACAACCGTTACACCATCCGAAACGATATCCACATCATCAGAAACCCTTTCCGCGTCATCTCAACCGATACGTATGACATCCGAACTGATAGTTTTGTCAATGTCTACGTCATCAAAAGCAACACTTACGTCATCTACAACCGTTACACCATCCGAAACAATATTCACATCATCAGAAACCTTTTCCGCGTCATCTCAACCGATACGTACGACATCCAAACAAATAGCTTCGTCAATGTCTGCGTCATCAAAAGCAACACTTACGTCATCTACAATCGTTACGTCATCCGAAACGATATCCACATCATCAGAAAACCTTTTCGCGTCATCTCAACCGATACGTATGACATCCGAACTGATAGCTTCGTCAATCTCTACGTCAGCAAAATCAATGCTTATGTCAACCGAGTCTATTTCCTCCTCGTCTGAAATAATACCTACAACATCAGAGCAAATAACTTCCTCAACCCAAGTAATGGCTGATTCGTCTCCTCATGCAATGCTAACGTCTTCCGAGGCTATGGTTCTATCATCTGAATCAATTCCTATGTCATCCAAAATAAAGCCTACGTCATCCATAACAAAGAAACCAGACAATACAGGTACAGCATTCCTGTGTTTTATGGTATGCTATACGTTAACGACAAAAAATCCTTTTGTTGTACTATATAACCAGTTAGTATTAACAGAAGCTTTGTCCATCTTTTTCGTTTTTGTCAACTGGAAAAAAAGCTTTGTCTATCTTGATTAATTTAAACGCATGTTATACTTTTAAATCAGCTTTAATCTTGGTCCTTTGGCACCCATTCTACTCAAACAGGATCGCCTACTCATGAAGTACATTCCCGGAAACCGAACACTGATTCTGTCGTCACTATATCGCCGACTAAGACCACGGGTCCAGCCTCTGCTGTACAGGGTATGTATAACATGTTTGTTAAATTTACTCACGTATTTTAAGTATGTTGTGCTTCTATCACAATCATTTTATGCTGAAAATGGAAAGATTTAATTTAACGTCTCTATTTTATAAAATTAGATAATGATAATGAAATACAAATGCAAAACTATGCAGCATTTATGTAGTGCCCTATTTAGTAAGAAAAACTAAGCGTCTCATAGCAAATAAGTAGTTATAATATAAATTTTATTTATTTAACAACAATTATGAAGTTTTTTACACCTGATACCAATCACTCTTGTTGACCCGGATGTTAGCGCGCGGGGGGTCTTACTGTGGGAGGAAACCGGAGTACCCGTAGAAAACCCACGTGTTCGGGCAGGTGACCCCATCCCTTTTCACGTCCGATCGGGGAATCGAACCCCGGTCGCCTTGGTGAAAAGGCAAGTGCGCTATCCACTGCGCCACCCGACCACCCTAATATGTAGTTGATACCTACAGTGATATCACAGTTAGAGACACTATTGTAATTTGTAGAAAAGATTACTGTTGTATCTCATTATTTATCAGAAGGTTCAATGACATCTTCAGTAAACTCTGCAGATTTTGAAGTTGGTCTTTAGCCCCAAATATGTTTACCTTGCCTTCCTCTGTTTTGTTCCTGCCGTTTCCATGGTATGGCCCAGGAAGTCCGTCGTCTTATGACGTTTGCATTGTGACAACATTTATCCCAAAATATACCAATTGACGCATTTGGACATTACTGAATCGAGGGCAATAATACGTTTTGTCTCTGATTCTTTCTTTACCCAACCCTTGTGTAAACATTTAACTATGATAGTTTACACTCTCACAAGATAATTTTATAACAAAGTTCTGTCTTTTGCTTAACTGACTTGTTTGAGAATGGTTGTTAACTCAACCCATCAATATGTAGAAGTTAGCGTATGATCATATAATAAATATATCTCCTTTGTCACCTACATATATTTTACCTGTTTCAGTATCCATTACCTCGGTCAGTATCCAGCTGCTAGGCGATGTTTCGGATGAGACTAAGATCGTTAGGGATCACGTGATGGAACTATTAAAATTGTCAAACACTTCCTCATTGACAGTCGGAGTTTCATCAAAACTAACCATTATTATCGGCGGGTAAGTTAAATCGGAACCTACTGAACTATATGTACGGACTCCTAACGGGTTATATTAAGCTACACATTACACATAAGTATTTTGGAGTAAGTAACCGTATTTAAAATACATTTTGTTCCTGTCTTATTGAATTTGTTTGCAATTGACAGCTTGATATTCCCCTGCGAATGGACCATGGCCTGCCATATTTTGTTGTGCAATTGAGTCATGTTTTGGCTAGGGTTAGGATGAAAAATATGGATCATTCATTCGATCAATAATTAGTCATTCAATAACAACAAGTCTGCCTATAGGGGTCACCACTGATTTAACTCAAGCAAGATGAATTTGGTTGTCCCTCATTTCAGTTACCATCAGTAATGGTGTTCCTCAGCAAGTTCTCAGTAATGGCTGCTTTATTCATCCTCGTTGTTTGTTCTCTATACTTGATTGATTCCAATAAGATTTATTCAATAAGTTATGACGTGTCAAGCTCTTTTTTTTTGGTAATTTGGATTCAAAACATTCTTTATTAAACACAATTCCCAACTTTCAAAATAAAGTGTTACGTACATTCCAAACATGTAAACTAAAGATAAGAATTTTGAAAGCTAACATATTTGTTACAGTTATAAAAGACTGGATTATGCTTGAAACGCCAAAGTAATCACAATTAGTGGTACTGTATTGGACTTGTTATCACAAAGGCACAGTTCTTAAGACGATATGATTATAACTAGACATGGCTCCCAAAATCACTTTCAACATATGGTTTTCAGAATTGTTTTATCAAGTCAAAGTGTCTATTTCCCCAGTGATACCGTTACCAATCTGACGCTTAGCATCAGCTCATGGGATTCAAGACCACAAATGTCGAGAGAACTTTTAGCCACAGCCCTGCACAAAACAGTGTCTACTCTACAGCTGCGACAGTACGATAACACTGTGAGCGTACATACACAAACAGCCACAGAGAACGTAAGTACCGCCATATCAGATGAACAACCCACATGTTTGTTCAGGAATAGTGGATGGCACACCACAGGTTTTCAACAACATTCTTATATGTTCACGTGCATGCTATTAATACAACCTTTTGTAAAATGATGGATAATCGTTCCAGTAAAATCTCGTACTGCGCAGGCTGACTCTTGAATATATATCATGTAGGAACCCTATGCTTATAATAGTATAAACCACTAAACATATTTTGTGAACTGTTGAAGGAGCTCACCTCATTGCGGGTTTTTTTTGCGGATTTTATACACATTGAAGTGTTTTTACCGTTTCATGCCGGTGTGAATTGCAATGATGAACAGACATGTTTCACTATTCTCAATTTCATGCCAATACGCTTCATAAGGGCATGGGAAAGAATAATATACTTATTCTTTGAAGAAATTTGTCCCAATACAAGATTAATTTTCCCAAATTATCATAGATTTCCTTTGTTTGAAACAAAAGTCATCAATATTTTATGATGTTATAGAATGAGTTCAAAATCAAGTGTCTTTAAATAATACTGTTCTGCCTTTTCGGTTTTGCTTTTATCATTTAACAATGTAAAATGTCAGAAGAATATGCACTGTGTTCAATAGTGCTATGAATACCTTGGGATTTAGCAATCAACATTTTTTAAGGCAATGGAAAACTGCATAACGTATACGGATACTCGTTATCTGTCCTCTCGTTTGGTACAAAGTATAAGTCATATTATGTGTGTTTCAGAGCTGGGCCGGCGACCATGCTGTTATGATCGGGATAGTTGCAGCAGTTGTAGCTGGCATCCTCATCCTTACTACTGTAATCATGGTGATGAGGAAAAGGTGCGTGACTTTAATTATAACATCTTTTGTGAAGCTATTGTTTGATTGACTATCATGTGCCCAATGGTAGACGCTTTACAAATTCAAAACAAAGATAAAAGAAAGAAAGGAAATTAAGAAACAATTACGGCATTCAAAATGAAAACTGTTAATATACCAGTACCTTTTGATCAAAAAGGTATGTTCATCTTAGTTAGTAGAAGTGTTTTCTTTTGACACTTTTACTGCGTCAAAATAGCCTATCAATCGGTCTGTCGGTAAGCTATCTCAATGAAGACAGGAAAAGAAATGCGATTTTAACTGTTTATCTTGCGTGGAGTAAATTGCGCTCTTTGGATTGGTTATATGTTCTAGTTATAACTATCTCACTTACTATTCACTTACTGTTTATGTAATGAAAGTGCACATTCAGTTGCAGTTATCATACCAGTAACGCAAACCTCACTTACTGTAAAACAATCCTAGTTGTACATATCTCCTCAATACCGGTTTTCTAATTTTTAATATTTTCTCTTGTTGAAATTTTTGGGTTGACTATTTCTATTTGTATGCGATTTTTCAATTTTATACCTTTATAACAATCTATATGCTGATTTGGGAAGAAACATGGAGGACTATACGTATTACTTTTATATTATTACAGTTTAGTAATTACAGTTTACAGAGCGCATAGCGTTGTTTTTGTTTTAGTAGCATTGCTTCGGTGATATAGACAAGCTGGCTGTTTTGTATACATTAAGGACTGTTAAAACTGTTAGGCATTATGTCAATTAACCAAAATGTTAGTTATATGAGAAAAACTAATCAATAACAGAAGTTAAGTATGGCTATACTTGTGTGTATTGATATATACTATATTCCACTGTTTTGTAGGGGCACACTACGAGAAGGTAAAGACATCTACCTAGATGACGACGGTGTATCCAACAGTATTAATCTGGAACCTATTTCTAAGAACGAACAAAGAGAGTTTGACAACCCAATGTATGGGGGCATCGACTGCTAGTATTGAATGGTTATCAACAAGGCACCGACTGCTAGTATTGAATGGTTATAAACATGACCACAATTGCTAGTAAATGGTTATAAACAAGTCACCGACTGCTAGTGAACGGTTATAAATACGACACCGACTGCTAGTAAACGGTTATAAACAAGACACTGACTGCTAGGAACGGTTAAAAACAAGTCACCGACTGCTAGTGAACGGTTATAAATACGACACCGACTGCTAGTAAACGCTTATAAACAAGACACCGACTGCTTGTAAAAGGCTATAAACAAAACACCGACTGCTAATAAACGGTTATAAACAAGACGCCGACTGCTATTGACCGGTTATAAACAAGACACCGACTGCTAATAAACGGCTATAAACAAGACACCGACTGCTAGTGAACGGTTATAAATACGACACTGACTGCTAGTAAACGGTTATAAACAAGACACCGACTGCTAGTAAACGGCTATAAACAAGACACCGACTGCTAGTAAACGGTTATAAATAAGACACCGACTGCTAGTAAACGGTTATAAACAAGTCACCGACTGCTAGTGAATGGTTATAAATACGACACCGACTGCTAGGAAACGGTTATAAATAAGACACCGACTGCTTGTAAACGGTTATAAATAAGACACCGACTGCTAGTAAACGGTTATAAATAAGACACCGACTGCTAATGAACGGTTATAAATAAGACACCGACAGCTAATGAACGGCTATACATAAGACGCCGACTGCTAGTTTACGGTTAAAAACATGTCACCGACTGCTAGTAAACGGTTATAAATAAGACACCGAAAGCTAGTGAACGGTTATAAATAAGACACCGACTGCTAGTAAACGGTTATAAATAAGACACCGACTGCTAATGAACGGTTATAAATAAGACACCGACCGCTAAGAAACGGTTATAAATAAGACACCGACTGCTAGGAAACGGTTATAAACAAGTCACCGACTGCTTGTAAACGGTTATAAACAAGACACCGACTGCTAGTGAACGGTTATACATAAGACACCGACTGCTAGTGAGCGGTTATAAATAAGACACCGACTGCTAGTGAACGGTTATACACACGATACCGACTGCTAGTGAACGGTTTAAACAAAACCAAAATTACTAGTAAATGGTTGTAAACAAATGGGACGTTTTAGAAGTAATGCTATTGAACTGTTTCACAAGACCAGGTCTGAAAGTGAACGGTTAAAAGCAAGACGACGAACGGTTGTAAAGTAGATCAGAACTGATAGAAAGTGGTCGCAAATACGATCAGAATTTCTCGCGAACGTTACTTAAAAATAAAATGTATCACAAAAAGTGCGTTACTTTAAACCAGCATGTCTTTTTACGGAAGTTTGTTACTTTGAACATTTAACCATAATGTGTGTATACAGATGCAAACAGATTTTATGTGAGGAATTCTGCAAAATATATACATAATCAACATGTTTGTGTATGTACATACTGGAACTAACTACAAGTGTGGCACCAAACCATCCCACAACTAAGTGTGTGTGGCTGTGTGTTAAGACCGGACACAGGAGTGACGTGACGCCAAATGCTTTTAAATATGGAGGGACTAGATCGTTTAACGTCATTTTATGTCAACTTAGAAACCATGCAAGTCAATTAAATTCTGATCTTTTTAGAGACCACCTTACTTATAGCCCATACTGTATATGTGGCAACCATGACGAAGATGTGGTCACTTCTTTCTATACTGCCCTAGGTATATAATCCAAAGACAAAACCAATTAGATTCTCTGTCTCATTTGCAGCTTGACATTCAACTAAACCTACATATAAATCTTGACTTAAACCTGATTGAACATTTAGTAAATAATATCAATATACTAACTAGGGGAAGTAACCACCTTAGTCATGATCCTAATTCTGCTATTTGTGTCTGTGTTCAAAAATATGTGAGTCTACTAACAGATTTTGAAATAACTGTTAATTCTAGTCCCAATGTGTATGTATACATGTCTACATGAATACTCCTTCAACACGGCTCCTGCTCTGGATTGTCAATGACTGGGCAAGCACACAGTGGTGGTGTGTATGTACATTTTAGTGCTGCCCAGTTATAATTGTTATCGGGAGTAGGAGTGGTGATGGAGGACTAGTTAGTGCTACAAATTACTCAACTTATAATATTTAATATTTACTGTATTGAATGATGGTTCAGTTTTTGATATTAATATATGTTGTAAAATTTATAAAATTTGATTATTTACAAATGCAGTATACACACATGGCTTTCCATTTTGAAATATATTTTATATATACTGGTTACTATGCAAAGAAAAGTAACCAAAAAAAACCAACTGTATTTGTTTAACCTCAGTAATTTGAATTTTTCAATTTTTAATTTTGCTAAGTTCAGAGATATTAAGTTCTATTTAATGTTCCAAGCCAGTGCCAATATGTTAATGTCTAAATTATAATTATGTTATTGTTTGAAATGCATGTAACCCAAGGGAGAGGGCTTGTATAGGCATAGCCTGTTGGCCAAATCCCATGGAATCATTTGATTTAATTAAATATTTTGAAATGAAAAACGTGACGCCATGAACTTTTAGGTGGTTGTTTTTTTTTTGTTTTTTTTGTTTTTTTGTTTTTTTTAATGAGAACGGAAATACAATACTGTAAATAGTTAACGGCAGATATTGCATCGTGTAGATAAACATATATTTATACCGGTTGGATTTGCAATTTTTTTACCTCCAAAGTTTTGAAATGTTGCAAAAAATCAAGACTTTAAATTAACACTGTGCATATATAATATAATTTTGATCTTGAATGCATAATTTTATATTTAAGTATATAGTGGGATCGATAGAGGCCAGTGTGAAGTGTCATGACGTGTTTTCATTGTATCGTGATAGGTTAAAACTGTATGGTTAATGTACATGTAAGCCACTTCGTAACGTCTCGACACAGGTGATGTTTAAAACGGGTCTTTACTTAGCTACCCCGATAACAACTGTGATGTGACATGTATGTCGACAATGAAGCAATATTGACATATCCTTATTTCACCTTATATATACTCATGTCTCCATGCAGAAGGTTAATAAAGGAGATCAGTAAATGTTATATGTGCAGGTGTTTGTTAAGTTTGAATATACGTATACCATCCCTCATATCAATGTTAACATGTACATTAGAAGAATGCATGCAAGCATGTATGTCATCATAACTACATTCCAGTATATTGAATGATGTACACATTTATTTGTATATTCGATGTGCAAATATGTGCGTGTGCGTGTGTGTGTGTGTGTGTGTGTGTGTATGTGTGTGTGTGTGCGTGTGTGTGTGCGCGCGTGCGTGTATTGAGAGGATGAAACTTTGTTAAATTTCTATCAATAAAGAGGTACTTATATATTTTTATCGTTTGTTATAAAATATTGAGATGCTTGATTTACGTTTATGTAACAAAACAAAAGGACATATATATATGTATGAAGCCTATTGTATAGGAATACTTATGCAGATGACTGAAACACTTACGACTGTTTTATCATCATACAATTTAAATTTTGAATTTGAATTGTCGAACCTTAAAATATTCATTTCATAGAAACTATAAAATTGGAAGGTTAGTGTTTTCATTATAGCAAAGCGAATCTCTATCGTTCTAATATATAAACCTTTGAACAAGTTCCATAAATGAAAATTGGAAGTATTAACTGGCGCCATATTCACCTGTAATATATTTCTTAAATTCGATATCACATTACAATGTCGTTCGTACGTTTTGAACACACGCTATGTCGTTTTACTACTCAGGAGGGATAACTCTGGCCTGAACACTAACATTGAGCAGTTGAACATGTGTCATACCAATCTTGGCAGATCTAGCAAAGGCCACTGATAGTCTGTCAGACTACTCTATCAATATCAGTGAACGGTCTGATATCTGGGATGTTAAATTGAATCAAATCAAAGCTTTTTGTTTGTTTGTTTGTGTTTTACGTCCTATTTACAGCTATGGTTATTTAAAGACGTGCCAGGTTTTGGTGGTGGGGGAAAGTCGGAGATCCCGGAGAGCAACCACCGACCTACAACCAGTACCTGGCGACTGCCCAACGTAGGTCTCGAACCCGCGACCCAGTGGTGGAGGGCTAGTGGTAGCAGAATGTCAGACGCCTAAACCACTTGGCCACTGCGGCCCAAAATCAATGCAAAAAGTATTTTTACTCAAGAAAAAAAGAACTATATTTACGCCTCAATGTCTATAAAAAGTATAATTTCAAATCGATCTTCAAAAACGCTCTTCCATGGTATTCACTGGAATGGCAAATGTAACAAAAATCGAGCCGCAGTCTGGCTCCCTTCGTCTCGTGAGGGTTTATACATTTATTTTGTATTTGCTTTTTGCATATTTGCTGAAGAAGATTTTTGAAATCTATATTACCTCTCAATCTAATAAAGACCTGTCCATCTCACGGTCAGAATGTTTCGCCGAACTTATCATGAAGGTGACTTGAAATAGTGTTCATAAATCTGTCAAGTGGTGATTACATGCGTTGACAAGCGGTGTCGATAGATTGATGTTTTGATTGATTGAATTAAGTATCTGTTACTGTATAATGCATGAAGTCAGTATTCATTTTTTACCGTCTGTTGATCAAATAACGACAGAAACTGAAGCTTGCGGGTATTTCAGGCCCAAATTTAGGAGATATATAACAAGTATTTGATTATCACCAGCCATTGAAATCAATAGCTTCGCAAAATGTTCTCGGTGTGATTTTCGATACTCAGGGGACCACATCTACTTATGAGCGTAATCCCTGGAATATCGAGGAAGGACCATGACACAATGCTTCCTCCTTGTTGCTATCATTTATCGTATACTTACGACATATCAACAAAAGCATGAAGTATTCAGGAAAATCATATTTCTACAATGTTTTGCGAACGCATATATGGTGAGGTATACTTGTACATTACCATCAATAGAACTTTTCTCAAAGGTTGTCCCACCTGTGTTAGAAATGTCAAAAAACAAATAAATTGTGAGTCACATCAATCAATAGATATGCATAAAAAGAAATAGCACAAGGACATTCTTAGAATTCCCTAGTACGTCGACCTCTTCAGAAGTTCATCATGGTATATATTTATTCATGTTGACACTATATTGATCAGAATTTGAGCCTGAATGTTGTAAACTTGTATCACTCTCCAGTACTGTTGTATTTACTTCTATTTCCACACACTGTACTGTACATACAGTACCTTTGTCGAATTTACCAAGTGGTTCCCATTTGTTCCTAATTGTAAATGTTTTACATTGGGACTGATCGGAAGAACGAGGTGACTGAAGATTGCTATCACAACATCACAGAAAGTTTAATACAGAGCATCCACAAATTTCATAGAGCAATAGTGTTGTGTATCTGTTTTTAGGTCGACCATAAAAAACGGCTGCCAGAAATCGGAAATCTTTCTTGTGTGTGCGTGTATGTGTTGTTTTCCCCAATATATGATAGATCGAGTCAACAGGTCCAATACATCACGATTTAACGGACAATGGCAATCAAAGTAGTAAGAAGTTTTGATCAAAAGTTATCGAATATGATACAGTGTCGATTTACTGTTGACATGTTTATCCTACAACATGTATCTTGCAACACGTCACAATTCGTGTGTGTGTCCTTGTCTTAATTCCAGCATGCCGTTAGAGACATCCGAGCCTTTAAAATATAAAACTCGAATACGACTCAGATCTATTAATGAACACCGTAATAGCATGGTCAGCTAAAAAGGGAGGTAACAAAAAGATTGGTATACAGATAATCAATCTTTATATCAACGAATGGATGGATGACGACACATATCTCCATATCTGCGTTTAGTTTATCTACGGTACATACATAGGGCATGTGATTGGGGGCATTCTAGTGCGCGAGATAGATAGGACACCACAGCATCAGTATAGATAACAACAGAAGGAGACATCTAATTACGGAAACCATGGGTACATCTCACCAACAGACAAGGACTATACGATTCCAGTGGATACCTGTACTCCTACTACAAGTAATACTTCTCGTCCAGGTAATGGCGCTCATAAGTTTGATATACGGCAAAAGAATGTAAGTGTGGTATAGGAAATAAAACTGCTTTATATTAATGTTTGTAGTATCATTCTGTTCATCAGACATAATTTCGGTGAATTATGTGACATGCAAACTTCAATTTAAGCAAGTCTCGGAGTGTCCTTTAGAGCAATAACTGGCATAAATGATTTCACCCCATCGACTGATATATCAACATTATTTCATTTGTAGGTTTATCTTATCCCCTGTACTGATTTGTCCCGGTCAATGTATGATATAAACAGTATAAGGACACATCTATAGAAAGCGTGATGTGCAGACTTCACGATAACGTTGTATTTATATTTTTAATTAAATAGGCTATGAATCTAATAATACTTATTGTTTAGAATTTATTGACAAGTATCATATCGCATTATTCCTCGACTGTACATACAATAGCGTACTCATCGTTTCAAACTTCTGGCCAAGTAACATTTTGTATCACACTGCCTACTACCTAAACACGTACACATATGTGCGCGCACACATGCACGCCGATACTGTCTATTCGTTAAGAACAGTACTTGTATCCATGTCTAATGATTGCTACAGTCGTAAGATGACTAAATGATGTGTTTATTATTACAGGTTCGATGCAGAACAGATATAGGAAAGGTAACGAGTTATAAGATTTATCATTTAGGATTGAGATCTAGATCTATTAATGTCTTATTTCCACTACATTTTAAATATGCTCACATTTTTAGTGACTGTCAATGGAAAAATGTTTTTGATAGGCAGGTAAAATCAAAGTATCGTAGCGATAAAAGGGGAGCAGAAAATTGACATTTACGAAATTAAAACTAAATAATTATTTTGAAAATAAATATTACAAGAACACAGATGTCCCCTTTGAGGATCTAAAGGTTAGCGGTAGTGAGCTCGCTGGTGTATGTGTGTTATTTATTCCGATTGAGTATGTTTTACTATATATTTCATGTCACGTTGACAATTAATTGAATTTTAAGCATTTTAAGCAACAAAAGCTTCAATAGTGAGACGTTTTCAGTGACCATTGCTGAATTTGTTACCCATTCGGATGTTCGACTGATGTAATTACGTGATTTAAATGTAGAATATATGATTATCACATAATGTAGTGTGTTATCCAGTGAATATAACCATGTCATATTTTTTTGCCTATTACCCCATGTAATATGACCTATCAGCCCTGTGATTGGTTGTAAGTTTCAATAGTTTCAATTGTGACGTCACGCCAGGACAATTACATGACGTCACAGACTTTTGCACTTGAGTCAAAATTGCGGCTTCTTACATTTCAAGGTTGCATGAAAATTGTCGTTTTACACGATTAAATGCCACAAACTTTGATTATGTGATAAACAGGATCTTAAGCTCGTTTTCATTTCATATGAAATTTATGAAACTCGTCACGAATTTTTCATTTTTAGCTCGCCAAAGACTCGCTTAATTGAAAAAGTCTTAGACTCGTTTCATAAACCTCATATGGAATGGAAACTCATGTAAGATCCTATATAAATGAAAAACCCAAACTTAACTTATTTCGGAAGGTTTAGACAGGTAAGCGGATTGACAACTGAAGGACCTCGTTGGATGATTTTGTGAACCACTGTTCTACCTTGAATGTGCTAATTATTGATTCATCAATTAAATTTGACCATGGAGATTGAAATGGATGGGAAAGCCTTGTAGTCATAGCAAAAATAAGAACTTCCAATTCAAGTGCACAACTGAATGAAAAGCTACTTGGCTGGTTAGACGTTTTGAACCTCCAATGTTGTATTAAGCATTCATTTGGACATTTGTCAATTGTTACCTAATGCGGTAAATGTGGTTCCTTACAGAAGATGTTTACATTAAACATATACATGTTTACGAAATAAGAAGTCGATATTTTCGACCAAAATAAATAAAAACTTGGAAAACATTAGGCAAATGCACCAGCCATAATCCCTAATACTCGCGCTGAACGTAACTCATCAAAATCGTGCCGCTCGTAACCCGTAATAATCAAACAATCTGTAACTCCTAATAATCACGATGAGGATTTCTGCCTTATATACTTTGCCCCTCATCAGCCTAAAAGTCCAATACAAACATAGAAGGTGTGTGCCTACATCACATTTTATTTTTTGAATGGACATTCATATGGACCATGCATGAGGAATTTCCAATGTTCAACTGGAAAAACAATTTGACATTCAGTGAAAACGTTAATGGAAAATTTGTGAATGTCCAGTGTTATATATTCTGCAAACTGACTTCTACATTTGTAGTTGTACATCAATTGGAAATTTCCTTAAAAGTTCAAAAAATAAAAATAAATGAAAACTTAGTAAGTGTGACAAACTGTAAACATATAAAGTATATATAATGATGATATCTGTGTAATAAGCTATTGTTTGATGGTATATTGTGTAGTTGTGAATGGTGTCGCATGTTGTGTGGAGAAAGGTCCGTTGTTTTTCAGACTACGTCCTCCAAGGTGCTGGTGATTGTAGATCTGAAGCGGTACGAGGACACAGCCCACTATAAATGTGACACGGGTGTGTTCAGCGACTCCAAATGCGACGTATATATGCAACTTTGCACTGCCTCTAAGTAAGTGCTCATTCTAAACAGACATCGAAATTTGTTTTCATTCATTTAGATATCAATGAAACGAGTTGATTTTTTCGGAGTTGTATAAATTGCTTTAAAACAATTATTCACTTTAGCTGTCTTTATCGTTATCATTATTTTATCACTGTCCTTTGCTAACATTTCATGTTTTATCACGAGTTGTTCACTTTATGCTGCCCGAATTGTATGTTTGGTTTGACCGCTTACTATATATCACTTTGCGATTATGATCGGTTATACAAAATTTAATTATTTTGTTAACCTTTTTAGTAAATGCACGAAGAAGGACAGTAGAAGTAGGGTAGACAATACCTACGGGTTTCTGTTCAAGGATCAACCGAAGACACAACAGTACAACCCTTCCTACTGGTATCTGGGGCGATGGAACGGGGTAAGGACGGCAGTATTTTTATTGTTCATTATGCACGTACACATTTGGAAAATGAAGACAACACAATCTCAGAAATCCACCCTATCAGTAAAGACGGTTTATAATGTACAAATATATACCATGTTTAATGAATACATCTGGTGAACATTTGTAATGTAATATATTTTTATAATTTGTTCTTTTTATGTTTATGATTTTATGTTCACATTTGTTCATAGTGATATGTTTGATTACTTTTAATATGTCATGTTTATGTCTGTATATAATTTGTTCTGTTTGCATCTACTTATATATATATATAAATCTTTGTTTCACTTTGTGTAATGTTTATATCTGTGTATACCTGTTTACAATGTGTATTGTTTATTCTATTTATACTATGTGTAATGTTTATATCTGTTTACAATGTGTATTGTTTATTCTATTTATACTATGTGTAATGTTTATAGCTGTTTACAATGTGTATTGTTTATTTTATTTATACTACGTTTGTAGAGGTTCCTCAATGAGTGCTAGTTAGTTATCATGCTTATCTAACTCAAGTCAGTCATTAATATTCACATTGTATAAAGACATGATTTTTTTTCAATTAACTATTTAGAGCCAGATAAACGTGAAAATCAGTTATAAAAAAGTTTCGGGACCTTTTGCTCCAATAACTTTGGTATTATTTCTAGAACCTTTTCCTTTTCTTGAAAACTCGTGACTCCTGTTTTTATCGGTAAAACTATTGTCGTGAACTATTGCGCCACAATGGGAAAATGCTATAACAAAAATATTGACAAGTGGGACTACGTCGAGGGTGGTACCAACTAGCCGGCAGCTAAAAATATCTATCAACTCCTAGTATATCTATCCATTGAGACAGAAGAGATACTTAAAGTGTAGCTTGTTTGCAATAAGTAATGTATAATGTTAATATAGACAAATGCTAAACAACCCTGTTACATATTTATAATGTATCACATAATCCTGTAACGTGTTATGATGTATCATATCATACTGTAACGTGTTATAATATATAACGTCATACTGTAACGTGTTATAATGTATCACATCATATTGAACCGTGTTATAATGTATCACATCATACTGTAACGTGTTATAATGTCTAACATCATACTGAAACGTTTTATAATGTATCACGTCATACTGCAACGTGTTTTAATGTATCACGTCATACTGTAACGTGTTATAATATATCACGTCATACTACAACGTGTTATAATGTATCATATCATACTGTAACGTGTTATAATGAATCACATCGTACTTTAACGTGTTATAATGTATCACATCATCCTGTCACGTGTTATAATGTATCACATCATACTGTAACGTGTTATAATATATCGCATCAAACTGTAACGTGTTATAATGTATCACATCATCCTGTAACGTGCTATAATATATCACATCATACTGTTACGTGTTATTATATATTACATCATCATGTAACGTGTTATAATGTATCACATCATACTGTAACGTGTTATAATGTATCACATCATATTGAACCGTGTTATATGTATCACATCATACTGTAGCGTGTTATACTGTATCACATCATAATGTTACGTGTTATAATATATTACATCATCATGTAACTTGTTATGATGTATCACGTCATACTGTTACGTTTTATAATGTATCGCATCATACTGTAGCGTGTTATACTGTATCACGTCATACTGTTACGTTTTATAATGTATCACATCATACTGTAGCGTGTTATACTGTATCACATCATAATGTTACGTGTTATAATATATTACATCATCATGCAACTTGTTATAATGTATCACGTCATACTGTTACGTTTTATAATGTATCACATCATACTGTAGCGTGTTATACTGTATCACATCATACTGTTACGT